CAGATCTGATTTGCTTTATTTTCTTTATAAATACATAAGTAATTGTTTCTTTCACAGTTTGCTCTTTGCCTTTTCATGACTCACATCTCTACCTTGTCAGCTTTCAGCACCGGCCCTGCCCTCCCTCCCAGTACTACAATCCTCCCAGTACTACAATCTCACCCACTGTGCCAGGTCACCCAGGGTGAAACAGCGAAACACAGAAACTCATTTTGCCTATCCAGATGTTCTGCTTACAAGGGGCTGCAGAAACTACAGGCACAGCAGTCAGAGGGCATAAAACCCGAGGTGCAAACCTGCCTTGAGTGCATTCAAATAGAGGTTTGTCTGTGGCTTATCATTTGGACAAATGCAGATGTGTTTTCACAGAGACAACAACAGACTCTGCTCCCCAGCGCTGCTACTGCTCCAAGTGTCTTGTTCCCATTCCAGCCTCCTGCGGTGTAAAAGTGCTCTTCAAAAGAGGGAGAAAGCTTAAACATTGAAGAAATGCTTTAGCTTTAATCTCAATGAAAGATGACTGTGCCTGTTTAAGAGGGGTTTTTGTGTGTGTGACTTTCCCCCCTTCACTCCTCTCAGGAAAATGTACTCCACTTGAGGCAGGGAGCGATGATGGAAAATTTCAGGCTGAATGGCTAAAGCACAGCCAACTTGTGAAGAAGCTGGAACCATGGAAAGGAAAGCGTTTGGCCACGCAGGATAAAAGGTGCTGTGTATGTGGAGGCTTCATTTTTACTCCAAGCTCCTCTCCCTGACACGTTGATTGTGTTTTGGCAGTTCATTAATTTCTTGTCCAATTGCAGGCTGTTGAGGGCAGATAAATTTGAGGCTATTATGGGAACACCCTATGAGTTTGTATAGAAAGGAAACTCTCTGTTTCCTGTATCATCCTTCTGGGGATCTTGAAAGAGTTCACAAAAGCCACTTAAGCAAACTTTCGTTGCTGGATAACGGAAGGAAAGGAAACTGTGAACAAGCAAACAACACTCAATTCCATGAGACAAGAGATACTCATAGGTCATTAGAGAGAAAGTAAAGTCAATGAATGCAACACACACACACACACACACACACACACACACACACACACACACACTGGAAATCATGGGAATTCCTGCTCCTGTGCTCTGATTTCTGAGCTCCAAAAAAGTAAATCCTGCAAAGCACCAGTGAGATGGGTGGTGCAATATCCATCCCTGCAGTGTATGGAGTTTTTTGTGGTTCAAATACTACACTGTGGGCTGAGCTGGAATGCTCATGGATCAGCTTCACTTTCTTCCTGTCATTGACAGTGCGGTTGCCAGAGGTCTGCTACAACCAGCTCTGTATTTTATGTCACATACGGGTGGAAAGTGGAGGTCTGGAGAGCTCTGTGTTTTCCTGGGGCTGGCTTCAAGTGCAGGATTCAGATGGAGCTCAGAGGGCTGGGGCTAAACACAGCATCAGCAGTGCAAATGCAGCCTCTGCCTCCAAACCCTGCAAGGACTGGGTGCCAGAGGGACTCCAAATCCAATATTGGGAACTCCAATTTGCCCCCGTTTCTGAATTACACACCAGTTTTCCAAGGATGGTAGGTTGGTTCAACAGGATGTCCCCTTTTGTGACAAGTTGGAAACATCTCAGCTTCAAGCTGCATTTCAGAGGGGGATCAGAATCACAGAGTAGATGAAATGCTGCAACTCTGTTGGAGGAGATTTGCATGTGGCTTATCTGGAGCATGGATTTTGTGGTATTTGATAGAAGTAAATGCATGTGGAAGAGAGACCTTGTATCTGCTTAAAGCACAGGGAAACAGGTTGAAGTTTGCAGTTAACAGCAAGCCAGAGAAGGAATGGTTTGGGGGAATGCCTGGTTAGCAGTGGGGGGAGGCAGTAAAAGGGGAACAGCACCACAGCAGCTCTTGTTTGTGGGAAATGAACCTCAAAACAAGCCAGAAGGGACGATGTAAAGCAGATGTCCCCTACAAAACACACTCACCTCTCTCAGAAGAGGAAGAGTTTGTGCAGCAGCGTGACTGAAGCTCAATATGAAAGGAGGTGGCCATCTGACAGGTCATTTTCAGGACCATCTACCAGGAGAAACAATCTAAATCTCAGCTCACTTCAGTGCCCCCTAGTCCCTGAATACTCCTCTGAGCTCCTCCAGCCATGCTCCAATCACAGCCTCACCAGAGCACACCAAGAGGTTGTTGCTCATGAAGGACTGAAAAATAAACCCTAAAGGAAACCTTATGGGCTTGTTGAGCATCTCACAAAGGAGGCAAATGACCAAATGAGCTATGGCACCAGTGCCAGCAGCCCTCCGGTTGGAGTCTGATAGATGATAAGGAAACCCTGCTCTGTACCTGCTGTATCATTACAGAGAGGATTTCTGTCTCCAAGGGCACTGACTGGCAATTTGTGAAAGGCATTTCAGAAAACATCAATTGTGAAAACGACTCTTTTCTGGCAGATTTTGCAACATATGCTTCTGGTCTGAGCACAACCACTACCAGGGGGGAAAACAGAGCGAGGAAAATGCAAGAGACTGTTGCCAGCTGGAAAAAAACACATATTATGTTCAAATTGGAGCAACCCATTCAGGCCAGTTCTTGTTTAATTGGGAGTGGGGAGGGCCTTTTCTGGGCAGAAATGTGACTGATTGCTTGACAGGAAAAATCCAAAGTCCCCCTAACCATTTCTTCTGCTCTCTCCCCAATTATCCCCAGCAACAGTGCTTCCCTAGGGAGCTTGTTAAGTGTCCCAAATCACCTCATTGCGAGGAACTTTCTCTCCTCTCAGTTTTATTAACTTCTTATCTTAAGCCACAACCTCTCAGTGTGCTTTTGAGGTTGCAGGTAATCTCCAGTCAATCTGCTTCTGAGCTTATTATCTTCCTGTGCTCCAGTCCAGGTGAGTGGCAAAACATCCCTATGGAGAGCATCCACCTGCAACCAGCATGAATGCATTGTCAGGTCAGGAAAATGGGCTGAAAGCCAGTCAAGGAGGAAGTATCTTTATTCCTTTTTTTTGGCATACTGAAGAAAATATTCCTTCCTGCCTCTTCTTCGTTGATAATAGAAAAGGAAACAAAATACTAATACAAAACTTTTGGTCCTTGCAAAGCAGCCCTGGGTGCTTGAGGTACTTAAGTCAGAAGCTTAGTCTCCAGGCTTCCTTTATAAATAAGGAAAGAAGCTGCAGAACTGATAGGATTCCCAAAGAAAAGCAGCAGGAAAGCACATCCCTCTTATCCCCCTGCTCTATCTGCTGTTGGCACAGTATTCACACACACAGCTCTACAGAAAAGCAGTGCCACCTCCAGGTCCCCCTCCAGCAGACTGTGTTGTATTCTTTGGGAACATCAGGGAAGAGCTTGAGGAAGATGAAATTGCTTTAGAAGGAGCTGGAAGGTGGGCTGTGAAGATCACAGGGCTGGAGCAGCTCTGCTCTGGAGCCAGGCTGAGAGACCTGGACTGGGTCAGCCTGGAGAAGAGAAGGCTCCTGAAGGGGAGACCTTAGAGCAGCTCCAGTGCCTGAAGGGGCTGCGGGAAACCTGGAGAGGGGCTTGGGACAAGGAACGTAGGGACAGGCCAAGGGGAATGGCTTGAACCTGCCAGAGGGGAGACTGAGATGAGCTCTTAGGCAGAAGCTCTTCCCTGTGAGGGTGCTGAGGCGCTGGCACAGGGTGCCCAGAGAAGCTGTGGCTGCCCCATCCCTGGCAGTGTTCAAGGCCAGGTTGGACACAGGGCCTTGGAGCAAGCTGCTCTAGTGGAAGGTGTCCCTGCCCATGGCAGGGGTTGGAACTGAGTGATCTTAAGGTCCTTTCCAACCCAAACCAGTCTGGGATTCTATGATTTTATAGGGGTCACAGGGGACAACTGGAGGATGAGCCAATATTGTGTGAAAGCACCTGACCATTCCCTGCCAGCCTCTGCATGCTGAAACAAGGTTTAGGACTCTCACGTGAGTCAACGTGCGTGGTTTATTCAACAGAAAACTATTCACTCTTTCACGTAGGGTTTCCCACCCGATCAGCCAGATGAACTGACTCACCCTGAGCATATGTGATCAAGGAAAAGGAAAGAAAAAGTTGCTCCTTTTGGGAGCATCTACCTTCTAAATCATTTTAGCTGTAAAGTGAAGCTGGACCCCAACAGCAGTATGCAGTATCCACATTGTCTGTTAAGCAGAGGGACTTCCGCAAATCAAACACAACATGGAAGCTGGTGGCTGGGGTGATATTCAACTCTAAGAAAGTGGAAAAAAAAATCTTGAACACACTGTTTTAATTCACAAACTGGGAATTTGTCAATTTTCACCCAACTTTTAGGGTGGGAGCAATTAAAAAAGCCCTAAGAAAACCTCAGTATTTTGCTGGGGATTTTAATTTTGGGCTTTGGAAATGCACTTGGTTTTTCCTCAACGTTTAAAATGACTTTCACATGAAACACTGTGGGCTTTGCAGTTGTTTGGTTTGGGAATTCAAGCCATTAGAATAAAAAGTATTCACTCGATTAATTTCAGTTTCTTGGTCACAACTATAACAAGAGTCTGCTCAGGGTTATTCTTGAAACTCAGAATCATAGAATAACAGAATCAGATTCATACAATCACAGAATGGTTTGGGTTGGAAAGGACCACTTCCAACCCCCTGCCATGGGTAGGGACACCTCACACTAACCCAGGTTGCTCCAAGCCCTGTCCAACCTGGCCTTGAACACTGCCACAGATGGAGAGCACGCACAACCACCCTGGTCAACCTGCTCCAGTACCTCGCCACCCTGACTTGTGTTGCTTAAGTCATTTAAATAGATTTCTATTTCAGAAACAAAGTGAGAGCCAACAATTTCACAATGAAAAGCTCGAGGGCTATAAAACTTGGCTTCATCTCAGACTCTTAACATTGTTTTTATTATCTTAATCACTAGGTTCTTTACATACTAATTTTCCATCCCACTGCCAACCAGTGGCAATCCAACTCCCTTTGCCATCACCCAGGTGAGCGTTACTCATGTTTTGAAGTGTACATAACCCCCCCTCTTGAATACAGTCAGCACAACAGTGTCTATTTTTGTGACTGCTCATGGACTTGTGCTCACACTGAGTCATAGCTGCAGAAGCCACTAGCTCAGGTGTTGCTCCTTCTGGGTTGTTTCCTAGGATTTTCCAAAAATACAGGGAACGCTGCTGGCTTTCCACATGCAGTTTGATGACACAGGGAGGAACAATTTGAAATCCTGTCTCTGATGGGACTCAGCTATTGCAAACACCAAGTAGGTACGTGACCGATTAGGCAAGGGGAGAGATGAGATAAATAACAACACGCTGTTGTAACAGGCCTTAGCAGAGCCGAGAGTAAAGCGAGTCCTCCAGGAAGGTTACAGAGGCTTCAGGTCACACCTGGGTGATCAAAACAGACGTGCCCAGTAACACGTGGTTTGAATAATAGGTTGATAGATGAATTCAGCTGTAGCTAAGGGCTGGAAAACAAGGGGGTGTGGAGAGGGACAAATGCTTAGTTAACTATAGGTCATGTTTTAGTGTCCAGAGGTATAGGGCAAGTATTTGTGTTGTGACCACATAAATATGATACTTTAGTCTGCACTGGACTAGCCCAGCTGGCTCTCGAGGGTTGTGTTGGTATAAGAGATCATTAAGGAACCAACATCTCTCAGGTGAAACTTCAGTGAAGTTGGCTTTAGAATCATCAATAGAATGGTCTGAATTGGAAAAGACCTTAAGGAGGTCCAGTTCCAACCCCTGCCACAGGCAGGGACACCTTCCACTAGAGCAGGTTGCTCCAAGCCCCTGTTTCCAACCTGGCCTTGAACACTGCCAGGAATGGGGCAGCCACAGCTTCTCTGGGCACCCTGTGCCAGCACCTCAGCACCCTCACAGGGAAGAGTTTCTGCCTAAGATCTAATCTGAACTTCTGTTTCAGTTTGAACCCATCACCCCTTGTCCTATCACTTCAGTCCCTGATGAAGAGTCCCTCTCCACATGGAAAGCCAGGCTGCAGGAGCCTGAAAACCAGTTGGTCTTTTTTCTGTATTCACAAGTATATACTGGTGATAATACCAGCCAGCTTTCATCAGGGTAAGGTTAATGTGAATGGAGTTACTTGAAAATCACCTCAGACTCAAACAGCCTCCTGGACTTCAGGCTTTGGTTCAGGCTTTGGGCTCTTTGCAAACCCAATTTGATGAAAATATATCCATTTTTCAATTTGGCTTTGAGTAAACATAGCGACTGAGGTACAAATATCCCAGTGCAGCAATGGAAACCTCATAAACATCATAGTAATGGTTTAATAGGAGGCAGCTCGGAAGGAAAATTGACTAATAGCAACTCAGTGCCCAAACTGAGAGAAAGAGAAATAGCATAAAAGCCAGAGGTTCTGGTCTCTGCTCTGCAAGGGAAGAAGTGACTGAACTCATCAAGCCCTGCAATCCCCAAATGCTGTCTAGCAGCATTTTAACTGCTCTTGGCACATAGGTAAGGACTGAAAGCCACAGTACTTGAAGGCCTGTCAAGTCATCCCTTGTCAGCTATAAACTGCACTGCAGCCTAACTCCTCACCGTTTTATTGTGAAGATAATTACAGGCCACATCAATTCAAGAGGCAGGGTAATTTTTTGCAGCCATTAATATCACTTTTTAGCTGTGAAAAGCAGGGGAATAATGATAGGGAGCTCTCATTCTTCAAGGCATGAACTCACAATGAGACCTCACAAGTGGCTGCAGCAAACGCATCTTACAGCCTCTATCCGCACTTTGCTGATATAACTGCTATAAACTTGAGTCTCCACCACGAGCTGTTTATTTGCCAACAGGAATGGTGTGGGGAGGTATAGCTACTGCTTTTACTCCAGGTTTCAGCACAGGAGAAAGGCAAAGAGACCCTACATAGGCACCACCCTGTTTGCTCAGGACTGTTGACATGAACCAACTGGCTCCAGATGGGTAAACTTAGGGCAGGAGACAGGGCAAAGGGCCGGGTCACTCTCTAAGCCCACAGGTCCTGTCTAAAGCCATTTGGTTCTCAGAACTGAAAGTCAGTTTTGGCTGCCACAAGCAAACCTCAATTGACTGGCAAATCTGCGTGTCTGGGTCCCAGTCACGGACTCACACACAGCATCCTCTTGTCTGTAAGACCTTCATAAGTCTTGCCTGTGTCCAGATAAAATATCTGTTGTCGGCTTGCTGCACGTCTACAGCCCTCATCTGACAGGCAGAAACCAGAAGCATCCCAATGTTTCTAGGGGGAAAAACAGAAAAAGCATCAAGGGACCATTTTACACAACCATTAAAGTTCCAGTTTCATGACAGCATATGTTGAGAGAGGGTGGGAAGAAGGATAAACAGCAGTTTCAAGCCCAGAGCACCGGTTTCCCATCAGATATCTCACCCTTTGTGAGAGATACCCTCAGGGTAAGTTACAGGCCAAATGTGTAAAAGTTGAGACTCATTTTTCACGTCCTGTTTACAAGTGTCCCGGCTGGGGAGACCTCACCTGGGCTTCACGGTGCTGAGATTTGCTTCAAGTCTAGCCTCAGGCTGCCCAAACCCATGGCCACTCCCAATTAATGTGTCAAACATCATTAAGTCTGAAAGTGAGTCAAAACAATCCCATGGGCTTTTGTCCATCCAGATGAAGAATTACCTTTTCTTTTTTAAAGTCCCAGCTTTCAAAGGATTTAGGAGCAGGATAATGCATGAATCCCTGAGTTTCATATAAAGCAATTCACACTAGATCTGACCATTGGCAAACAGTCAGCTAAATCCATTATTGCATGATAATGCTCACACATTTCATCTTAACCAGCCGTCCTCTGCTCCCTCACCCCTTTCATCACACAAGCATTGCTTTAACTGTCCGAGGGAGGGGAGAGGGAGGATCAGACACAGCCTTGTAAAATTCCTTCACCCGCTTTGCCTGCAGCACATTATTTCTCTTTGACACGCGTGTAAAATGATGGTGGGGGTGTTGTTTGTTTGGCTTGGCTGCATATGAGTTTTTCATAACACTTTTGTAAGCCAAGTACCTGCGGAGCTGAGTAGCTACAGAGTAAAGAGAACTCAGGGTAGCTTGTTGATGCTCTTGAGGTCTGGTTAATTAAGGTACCGCATCAAATAGGGAAGACCCCTTCCTCTGATTGCTATGGCAAGACAAGGCAGGGCTTTTAGAGCAGGATGTTGGTCTCCAGCATTCAGAGGTAGATTTATTTTCTTTAAAGTCCTTGGGTATTACACAACAAACAAACCAGTGGAAGAAAGGATAAGCGAGGGATCAGTCCCTTGAGGTTTTCTCCAGCTACGTGACTCACAACATGGAAACACGCACAATAAAAATCATCAAGAAGTGACTTCTGGGTGCTTTCTTTAGGGAAAGCTCTCACCCAAGTGCCTCAAAACACTGCCTAGGGATGCAGAGAGGAAAAGGACCCACAACTACCACCCTGCTGAGGAGGGACCTGCTAAATGCGGACATCACAAAGACCAGGGAGCAGTGCACATCTCCAACCTTGTTCTCAAACACAGTTTAGGGGGTTTCCTCCCAGCCCCACAAACATCCATCCCAAACGTAGCACACGTCTGGACAGCACAGCAGCCTCTTGACTGACATTAATTTCTCCCCTGCCAAAACTTGAGGAGGATGGGTTTATGATGGGTTAAATATCTGGAGTTGAGTAAGAACCTCAGAGGGAAAAGGTGGGTCTCTTTCCCACTTCACTCTTTGTTATAAAAGATTGGATTTTTAAATTTAAATGTTTGTTTTATGGAAAATTACCCTTTCTGACTCTAGCTAGGGGCTGACAGACAACAACTCTCATGTGAAATTCACATGAAGAAATAGAATGGAGAAATATCTGGACACGTCTGGACATGTCTGGCCATTGCCAGAACAGGTCTGGAACGTCAGGGTGAGGTAAGGAACATGCTCCACCACAACAGCAGGCAACAAGAGGTCAACAAAAAAAGTCATTTTTTCCTATTAAAGATGAGGTTTCAAAACATCAGGTAGCCCAGGCTGTCACTGATCTATGGGTAAGGAGAAGCGCGTCTTAGAAGTTGTAACTACACCCACATCTTCAGATCCCTTCTTGGTGTTTTGTTTCAGGGTTGCATATGATTTCCACTAAAGTCACTGAAATCTTCTCTGAGTCATTAGACATTTCTACTGCTATAAATACAGTTTGTTTCTTCTGTGGAATGAACTTAAGCTGTGCTACACACATTCAATTATAATACAATGTAGGTTGTTTTATTGTCAGAGTAGGCACTGAACTGGGCTTTATCTTTACTACTTGTCTAATTAAGTAGTAAAGTAAGTAGGCTTTATTATTTATTAGGCTACTTGTCTAATTAAGAGAATTATTTAGCTTTTTTTTTTTTTCATTAGGGACTGTAGTGACAGGACAAGGGGTAATGGGTTAAAACTTAAACAGGGGAAGTTTAGATTGGATATAAGGAAGAAGTTCTTTACTGTGAGGGTGGCGAGGCACTGGAATGGGTTGCCCAGGGAAGTTGTGAATGTTCCATCCCTGGCAGTGTTCAAGGCCAGGTTGGACAGAGCCTTGGGTGACATGGTTTAGTGTGAGGTGTCCCTGCCCATGGCAAGGGGGTTGGAGCTGGATGATCTTAAGGGCCTTTCCAACCCAAACCATTCTGTGATTCTATGATTCTATTTTCCCCAAAAAAACACTAGCACTATCCTTGCAGTATTTGTACAAATCAGTAGTATGTAAAAACCACCATCATTCTTTGGGAATCCTCACTTAGGGTACGGTTAATTTAGTGAGTTGTGCAAGACTGTGGTCACACATGCTTTTCAGTCCTTGGTCTGAATTAGCCTCCAAATAATTATACATCAAGACCAGCGTTCTAGAATAAAAGATTAATGTCTTCTTTTTCTTTCCTTGAGGGCTTGCAATATTTCTGTTAGCCTCAAGATTCACATTGCCTTCTAATAGTAAGATGCGCCCAGTTCTTCCATTTTGCCTTCTGTGGCTTCCCTTTCCCCCAAATCTGGCACGCTCCACAGTTTATTTATTCATGAGCTGCAAGAGAAAGAAGTCCACCATAAATCAGACTTGCTTTGGAAAATGTACTTAACGGCGTGTCAAGAAGCAGCAAACAATCACACTTATGCAACATAACGCTCATTCTGACATGCCACTCATGCTACTCTGTGCGGCCCCAGTTTATGTAAGTAATGAGTATTTATTACACTGCCCTGCCCAGTGCAGTCAGCACAATTAAGGCTGGGAAACCGAAGTAATTGGGAATAAAAAGCACACTCCCGTGTTACAAACATGGGGTGTTTTATGGCAAATGCACAGGGGGTGCTCACAATGGGGCTGTAATCGGGACCAAAGGGTTTTAATTCCCTTGGGGTCACTGCACACTGTATATTGTCTATAAGAGATGTGAATGATGAATTGCACCACTGCTTGGAGCAGGGGATGGTCACCCAGCACTCCCCATCAAAACATGGGGCTGGATGTATGGAGGCTCATGGCCTCTGGATGGTGAAGAGCAGTGAAGCTGAGGTGGGAGGCAGGCCGGGACCTCCTGTGTGGCCAAAACTGAGCAAAAGGTGCTATTTTCCCTCGTGATGAAGGAAGATAGTAACAGTTCCAGGTCAATGTGTTCGCAGTACCTCAGGTTGGGAACAGCAACTTCTCCGGCACTTCCCAAGCTGTCAGCTTCATCGAACCATCGAATGGTTTGGATTGGAAGGGACCTTAAGGCTCATCAAGCTCCAACCCCTGCCATGGGCAGGGACATCTTCCACTAGAGCAGGTTGCTGCAAGCCCCTGTGTCCAGCCTGGCCTTGAACACTGCCACATTCGCCATTCCTTTGGTCAGCCAGTGCCTCAGCACCTTCATCAGTAAAAAATTTATCCCTTATACCCAACCTAACTCTACTTTGGTGCCGTCTGGCACAACTTTTTCAGTGAGGACAGACCACGTTGCCGCCGAGTTCCTGAGGTAAACACACGCCTATCTCAGCACGGGCAGCTCAGGTGCCAGCCTCCAACCGCCCTCAGATCACCGCTCGGCGGCTCCAGGGGCTCCCTTTCCTCCCAGAAACCCCCCTCCAGCTCCGGCAGCGGCCCCGGTCGCCTCGTCCCTCCCCGAGGCCGCTGCACCTGACCCGGCCCCAGCTCAAGGTGGGAGCTCCCCGCCCCTGGCGGAGTGCCCGAGGGACCCCGTAGCCCGCCGTACCCGTCACCCTAGCAACGCCCCCCGCCCCTCCTGGTGTAAGCCACTCCCCTCTCATTGCATATTCATGACCCCCGGCGCGGGGAGGGGCGGAAGCGGAAGCGGGACGCGGTTTCCGAGGAGCCCGGTATAAAGCGGCCGCTCGTGCCCGGTGTCGCCCGCCCCGCTTGTGCCGCCGCCGGTCACCTCACCCCTTCCTTCTCCTCCTTCCCCCCACCCTCCCCGCCGGCCGCCGCGGACACCTCCCGGCACCGCCGCCGCCTCCCCTCCCCCCGCCGCACGGAGCAGGTCCCGGGTGCAGGGGGAGACCCGGGGACAGGTACGGGGCGAGGGGGGCGGCGGGGAGTGAGGAGCCGTTGGGGGGCGTGAGGCGAGGTGAGGGGTTGGTGAGGTTGAGGGAAGGTTCGGGGTGAAGATGGGGAACGGGTGAGGGTGAGGGAAGGTTTGTGGTGAGGGAGATGAGGGTGAGGAAGGGTTTGGCCGAGGGACGGTTTGAGGTGAAGGCTGTGAGGGAAGGTTGGGGTGAAGGACGTGAGCTGGTGAAGGTGAGGAAGGGTTTGAGGTGGTGAGGGGTTGAGATGATGAGGGCCAGTGAAAGTGAGGGAGGTGAAGGGGATGAAGGTTTTGAGGTGGTGAGGGATATGGGGGGTTGATAAAGGTGAGGGTGAGGAAGGATTTGGCTGAGGGAGATGAGCTGGTGAAGGGAAGGAAGGTTTTGAGGTGATAAGGGGCTTGAGGTGAGGGTTCATGAAGGGGAGGGAGGGTTTGGACTGATGAGGGGCTGGTGAGGGAGGGAAGGTTTGAGGTGAGGAGGGTGAGGGTGTGGAGGGGTTTGACTGAAGCAGATGAGCTGGTGAAGGGAGGATTTGGGATGGGCTGGTGAAGGTGAGGGAGGGCTTGAGTTCTGTAGGAGAGAGGCAGGTGGGACTGAAAGTAAAGAAGGGCTGAGAGAAGCTTTTGGATGAAGGAGTTATAGGGCTGGAGAGGTGAGAAAGGCGTCAGGAGTATGTAAGGCTGTAAAGATGGGAAGGGGTTGAGGAGCTTTAGGGTGAGGAGTATGTAAGGCTGTAAAGATGGGAAGGGGATGCGGAGCTTTGGGTGAGGAGTATGTGGGGCTGTAAAGATGGGAAGGGGGTGAGGGGTATGTGGGGCTGGAAAGATGGGAAGGGGATGAGGAGCTTTGGGGTGAGAGGTATGTGGGGCTGTAAAGATGGGAAGAGGATGAGGAGCTTTGGGGTGAGGGGTATGTGGGGCTGTAAAGGTGGGAAGGGGATGAGGAGCTTTGAGGTGAGGGGTATGTGGGGCTGTAAAGATGGGAAGGGGATGAGGAGCTCTTGGGTTAGGGGTATGTGGGGCTGTAAAGGTGGGAAGGGGATGAGGAGTATGTGGGGCTGTGGAGGGGGGAAAGTGATGACAAATGAGAGGGAAGAGTGAGGTGAGGGAGATGTGGAGCTGCAGAGATGGAACTGGAAGGGGCTGAGCTCTGTGGTGAAGGATTGAGCCAGAGGTGATGTGGGGTTGCAGAGGCTGGGAAGGGATAAGGAATTAATGTTAAGTATAAAGTGTACAAGTATTAAGGTGGAGCTGGAGAGGTTGGTTGGGGTGTCTGGGGTAATGAGTCCTAATGAGATGAAGATGGGATGATAAAGAGGTGGCCTCGTACCCCTTCCGGATCAAGCTGGGTGGTAAATATGCTGGAAAAGCACTTGGCAAAGGGACC